TTCTCGAGGAACTACTCGACCTAATTTCTACAGCCGAGGCTGTTAAGTCCTGACTTCCGGACGCAGGGACCTCCCAAAGGGGCGGGTGTTCGAAGGCCACAACCCCGGAGGTGAAATTGTTCCAAGTGGCAGACACCTGCGTCCAGCAGCCCGCCAGCTTGGGCCCGGCCCCAGCGCGTCTCCTACCATCCCCCGCCCCAGGCGCAGGCTCCGCGCGCTCCCGCACACGCGCCGGCCCGCGGCGCTAGGGCTCCCGGCAGCCAACGGGGCGGGGCGCCGCGCGGGGGTGGGCCCGTGACGCGCCCGCCGCGTGACCCGGCTCTCGGCCTGCGCTCGCGGAAGCCGGAAGCGGCAGCTGTCGGCGGTGCCGGCTGTGGGCGGAGGAGGGGCTACGAGTGCCCGGGGGTTCGTGGACCCCGTGATGGATCCGGACCCGATAGTTGCGCCGCGAAGGTCGTCGCTGCTGTTGTGGCTGCTCCTGGCGCAGCTGCTGTGGTCGGGGCTGGCGCTGGGCGCGCTCCCTTTCGGTAGCAGTCCTCACAGGGTCTTCCACGACCTCCTGTCGGAGCAGCAGTTGGTGGAGGTGGAGGACTTGTCCCTGTCCCTGCTGCAGGGGGGAGGGCTGGGGCCACTGTTGCTACCCCCGGACTTGCCGGATCTGGATCCCGACTGTCGAGAGCTTCTGCTGGACTTCGCCAACAGCAGCGCAGAGCTGACAGGGTGTCTTGTGCGCAGCGCCCGGCCGGTGCGCCTGTGTCAGACCTGCTACCCCCTCTTCCAACAGGTCGTCAGCAAGATGGACAACATCAGCAGAGCCGTGGGGGTGGGTAACGGAGCACACCCGGGACCTATGGCGCGGGAGGGTTGGGAAAGGAGGAAAATGTAGTGATGGTCAATTCTGGGGGCCTCAGGTTCCGTAACTGTAAGAGAAAGGGTTGGATTGGGTCTCTGGATTTGGGGGCATTAGAAAAAGTGGGTGGCATTATGGGGTTTGTAGTTTGGATTTTTGCCTCCATGAGTACTATTGGACATCTTGGTACACATTTGCAGTTAGGTATGATTGGATTGGGGGAAATCTTGCTGTCTAAATTCTATCATCCTCCCCTCACTCCGCCACAGCTGCTTCTCATCTCCACCTGGAGTTTCCAGAAAGGACCATTTTTCTGAAACCAGCAGTGGAGTGGAGAAACTGGGTAGTGGTTAGCAGCTGGAGCTTTGCAGCCAGAAATGCTCAAATCCAACACTCTCCCTTGTATTATCTTTTCAGAGCTTTAGTTTCATTTTCTATAAAATGGGAGGAAAAAAAGCTATTTAAGATGGCTGTTAGAAGGATTAAAAGAGAAACTGTGAGTTCATCTTAGTGATTTAGACAGACTGGAGATAGTTGGCCAGAGTCCAGTTCCACTCAGCTCATTAGCAGTATACTATGGGCATGTTACTTACATTCTCAATGCTTATTTTCTCTTCTGTAGAATGGTGATAAAGAAGGTCTTGGAAAACTGACACATAGTAATAGTTCTCTGTACATAGTAATAGTTCTCTGTAAATGGGAGCTATAATTGTAGGAAATGATAAATCTGCCCTTCATTTTGGTATCTCAAGAGCTTTTCTGTTCATGTAGCAGGCAATATGAGGGATTTCATTAAAAAAAAAAAAGGAAGACACAATCTCTCTTCTTAAGTGCTTTATAGGGTTTAGACTAGGAAAGGATTAGAGTGTCAAGGCTGTTGGGAGTCATGAGGTGAGGGCTGGATATACTTGGTAATGGAAAAACTTGAGGAGTAACTTTGGGATTGGAAGTGGGAAAGTTCCTCTTGTCTTGGTGGAACAGCAAGTGGTCTCATGAAAATGTGGTTAGAATTATTTCATAAATCATAGTGGATTTGATTAAAATACAGTTGCATCCTGCTTGAAGTCAACCTGATATTACTTAACATAAATCTATTATTTTACATAAAAGGGGGATTTATTCGCATTAAGTAAATTCTGTGATTGAGCTAGTTTTCTAAGTAGTT